TGGATACGTATCTGCCTGGCCATCAAGGAGGGAGGATTGTGGGCGTGATGTGCTCCCACTCAGTGCACCTCACAGATTGATCAAAGGGGTGCAGAGTGAGGTGGTTTATCAGCACCAGCCCAGAGCAACTGTGTGGAGTGGAGGCTGCAGGCAGCACAGTGCTCTGAGGTTGTGGACTGGAAACTGGGCACCTGTGATTACTGCAGCCCAGGCTGAACCCCCTTCCTTGCCAAACCACAGGAAAGGGAACATGGAGGCCAACCGCCCACTGCATGCAGGGGCCTGGAAGATCTGCAAAACTGGTTGGGCAGGCTTAACAATCAATCAGCAGGTGGCTTTTTCTTTCTTTCTTTCTTTTTTTTTTTTTTAACAAAATTAAGATCTGGACATGAGAGAAAACCAGAGACAGATCCAGAAAGAAGTCAGAGGGTGAACACCAAGGATTGAGACAAACTTCACCTTACGCACAATCAGAATTTGCATGTTTAAAAAATTTTTCTCTTTCTGCTGTTTATTTAGTCTGTTTTCTTGTTCAGTTTTTCTTCTCCCCTTCATACTGCATTTTAATTTTTCTTCTTCCACTTCACTTGTATTTCAAATAACTCACTACTCTTGGTCTTTTACTTTTTAAAAAAATATATTTTATTGATTATGCCATTACAGTTGTTCTATTTCCCCCCTTCATTCTCCTCTACCATGCACACCCCTCCCCCACCATTCCCCCCTTTAGTTTATGACCATGTGTCTCAAGTTCTTTAGATTCTATATTTCCCCTACTATTCTTGCCCTCTCCCTATCTATTTTCTACCTACCGTCTATGCTACTTATTTTCTGTACCTTCTTCCCCCTTCTCCTTCTCCCACTCTCCTGTTGCTAACCCTCCATGTGATCCTCATTTCTATGGTTCTGCTCCTGATCTAGCTGTCCTCTTAGTTTCCTTTTGTTTTAGGTGTGGCTGTTAATAACTGTGAGTTTGCTATCCTTTCACTGTTCATCTTTTTTATCTTACTTTCCTTAGATAAGTCCCTTTAACATTTCATATAATAAGGGCTTGGTGATGATGAACTCCTTGAATTTAATCTTATCTGAGAAGCACTTTATCTGTCCTTCCATTCTAAAGGAAAGCTTTGCTGGATAGATCAATTTTGGATGTAGGTCTTTGGATTTCATGACTTGGAGTACTTCTTTCCAGCCCCTTCTTGCCTGTAGTGTCTCTTTTAAGAAATCCGCTGACAGTCTGATGGGAACTCCTTTGTAGGTGACTGTCCCCTTAGCTCTTGCTGCTTCTAGGATTCTCTCCTTCATTTTCATCTTGGCTAATGTAATTATGATGCATCTTGGTGTGTTCCTTCTTGGGTCCAACTTGTTTGGGACTCTCTGAGCTTCCTGGATTCCCTGGAAGTCTATTTCCTTTGCCAGATTGGGGAAATTCTCCTTTATTATTTGTTCAAATAAGGTTTCCACTTGCGGCTGTTCCTCTTCCCCTTCTGGTACCCCTATAATTGGGATGTTGGAACGTTTAAAGATGTCCTGAAGGTTCCTAAGCTTCTCCTCATTTTTTTGAATTCTTATTTCTTCATCCTTTTCTGTTTGGTCATTTTTTTCTTCCTTCTGGTCCACTCCTTTGATTTGAGTCTCAGTTTTCTCTCCATTACTATTGGTTTCCTGTGCATTTCCCTTCATTTCAATTAGTTTAGCCTTCATATGTTCCTCTAATTTGTGACTAAAATCAACCAGTTCTGTGAGCATCCTGATCACCAGTGTTTTGAACTGTTCATCTGAAAGTTTGGCTATTTCTTCGTTGCTTAGATTTCTCAGCCCTGGGGCTCTGAGTTGTTCTTGAGCCATGTTTTGATCTGTTTGTACCTGTTACGTGTGAGGAGTGGAGCCTCAGGTGTTCACCAGGGCGGGGCCACCCAGGTCGCTGGTCTGTGACGCTTTATGTAGAGGCGGCTCAGAGAGGGACAATAGCAGTCCCCTCTGCCGCTTCCCGCTGCTGGGGCCTGCAGAATCTGTCTCACTGCTGGCTCCTTCACCGGTTTATCTGCACGCTAACGTGTAACTGTGGTCAGCCCTCAGTGGATCCGCCCATGGCTGCTGGCGCGCCTGAGTCACGCACCTGGGTCAGTCCAGTGGATCTTACCTGCCCGACCCTGCTCTGCTGCTAGCTCTACCCCTCTTACCAGTTTGGCTGAAGGGTTCATTGTTGTCAGACTTCCATACAGGTCAATTTTCTGTGGTTTGGCGGCGTATTTGTTGCTAAAACTGTACTGTTTTTAAACTTGGTTGTGCGAGATGGCACAATGTTTCCACCTACGCCTCCATCTTGGCGGAAATCCCATTGATCTTTTAGTTTTTAATTATTTTTATTCAGATTGTATATTGTAATCATATTATTGTTATTCCAAATCCCACACTGCACCCTTCCCTGGTTTTAATCCATTTCACCATTTTCCTGAGCTTTATTAGTATTGTGGTAAACTTATTTGCTGTCACAGTATGCTGACTTCCTACCCCTTATTCTCATTATTTCTCCTCCATCTAACCTCACATAAGCGCTCTTCTTTCTTGGCAGCTCACATTCTTTCCCCCCTCTTATAAGAGTCTTACTTCTTTTCCACCTTTTATAAACAGAGGCTAGTTAGGCAAAATACCATGGCTATTGCTGTACTTCTCTAACGGAGCTCCTTTTGTTCATTATTTGTTTCTACTTTAAATCCCATAGAATACTCTTCTCCTGACTTACTCCTTTTTGCCTTCCCCCTGCCCCTCATCAGTTGGGTGAGGAATTTTATTTTATTTTTTTCTCTCCCCCCCAACCTGGGGTTTACCCTTTACTCTTATTAGTTTGCATCCCTCATCCTCTCAAAATCATTATTCTTTGCCATAGACATCTTATATCCACTTTCTGCTTTTGTACAATATTCTTGTTCCCATTCCACCTTTATCAAATTTCATTCAACTCTTGTTGCTATTGGCCCTGTTATGGTTTTTCTCCAATTTTACTCCCATTCATCCAGTACCTTTTCAATTTTACTTTTAACCTCATAGTTTACTCTTCCCTCTACTTACCCCAGTGTTCTCATTGCCCTTTCATCTTTTACTTACATTTTAAATTTTGTTCTCTCCCTTTCTGTGCCTTGGTTCTATCCTGATTCTTATTGATTCTCCTTCCTCTTACCACTCAGTAACATTTTCCCTTTTTTTGGTCATCTCATATTCCCATTGTCCTATCTTATAATATCTATAATCTCTCTTCACTTTTATTAATCTTTGCTCAATTGCAGTTGAGATTGCTGATATGGTGGGGGGGCTCTTTTTGCTGACATAGGCTTAGTTGTCTGGTAATACTGCTTTGTCAACCAACACCTGTACAACAGCATACAAGACAAGGTGGGACTTGTGACTACCAGTAAGCCCCCTGGAGGCAAGAACCCCAAAACAATGAATCCTCCAACAGGTAAAGCCCAAGTACAATAAGAGAGCCCACACAAATAGAACAAAGGGCAACCCTAGAGCATTCCAGACAAGGAGATCAAAAGACTGCACCACTGAGTCCCACAGAACTCCTATCACAGAATTCCACCCCAAGAAGATAGCTGGAAAAACAGAGCACCCTGAGATGCAGAAACAAACAAAAAGAGTCACCTAAAATGGGGAGACAAAGAACCCCTAATTGAAAGGAATGGAAGAATCTCTAGTAAAAGAGCTAAATGAAATCGAGGCAAGCAAACTGTTAGACATAGAATTAAAAAACTAGTTATAAGGATGCTCAAGGAACTCTATGACAACTACAAGGAATCGAGTGGGAACTACAATGGCACAAAAAAGGAGATAGAAACTATAAACAAGAACCAGGAAGAAATGAAGAATACAATACCTGAAATAAAAAATAATACAGTAGAAGGAATTACAAACAGGCTGGATAAAGCAGAGGGCAGAATTAGTGAGCTGGAAGACAAGGTAGATAGAACAACAGCATGAACAAAGACTAAAAATGTATGAGGATAGCTTAAGGGAACTTCAGGACAACATGAAATGCAACAACATTCGAATACCAGAATACCAGAATACCGGAAGAAGAAAAGGATCAAGGGATAGAAAACCTGCTTGAACAAATAATGACAGAAAACCTCCCTAACCTAGAGAGGGGAAAAGTCATGCAAGTTCCGGAAACAGTTGGTCCCAGTCAAGATGAACCCAGAGAGGCCTATTCCAAGATACATCATAATTACATGCCAAGTATTAAAGACAAAGGGAGAATATTAAAAGCAGCATGGGAGAAACAGAAAGTAACATACAAGGGAGCCCTAATAAGGCTAGTAGCTGACTTCTTGATGGAAAAGCTCCGAGCCAGAAGAATGGCAAGAAATATTTCAAGTAATGAGAACCAAAGGCCTACAAGCTAGACTTCTCTACCCAGCAAGGCTCTCACTTAAAATGGAAGGCCAAGTAAGAAGCTTCCCAGACAAAAAAAGGCTAAAATAATACACCTCCACATAACCAGCATTGCAAGGATTGCTACCAGGACTGCTTTAAGAAGATGAAGAAAAAGAGTGAGAGAGAGAGAGGAACACAAGTACAAAAGGAAAAAATGGCAATGAATAAATACCTTTCAGTACTAACGTTAAATGTAAATGACTTAAACACTCCAATCAAAAGATATAGGGTAGCTGAATGGATAAGAAAACATGACTCACATAAATGCTGCCTACAAGAGACCCACCTCAGAACAAAAGACCTACACACACTGAAAGTGAAGGGTTGGAAAAAAAAAAAAGCTGGGATAGCAATACTAATATCAGACAAAATAGACTTCAAAACAAAGGCCATAAAAAGAGACAAAGAAGGTCATTTCTTAATTCTAAGATTCATTAGAAAACTATAAACATTATAAACATATATGCGCCCAACATAGGGCCACCCAAATATATAAGGAAAATCTTGGAGGACTTCAAGAAAGATATAGGACTCCTCTCTCCTGAACCACTGCCGCTATCATGGACACGAGTGGTATGCAACCTACCAAGCTAGCCAGGGTCCCCAAGGTACTGGGCAGGACTGGCTTTCAGGGACAGTGCATGAAGGTACACATGGAATTCATGGACAACACGAGCCATTCCATCATCCACAACATGAAAGGCCCTGCACATGAGGGCGACATGCTCACCCTACTGGAGTCAGAGTGAGAGGCTTGTAGGCTACATTGAGTTGGCACCTGGGTCCTGAATGTCTAGGTGGGCCACATGGTCCCAGGGGATAATGCTCAACTGTTAATAAAGCATTTGTAGCCCTGGCTGGTGTAGCTCAGTGGATTGAGCACAGTCCTGAGAACCAGAGGATCATAGTTTGATTCCAAGTCAGGACACATGCTTGGGTTACAGGCCAGTTCCTGGCAGGGGACACACGATACATTGTGTGTCTCCAGCAGAAGCAACCATACATTGATATTTCTCTCCCTCTCTCCTTTCCTTCCCCTCTAAATATAAAGAAATAAAATCTTTTAAAAAATAAAGCATTTTGTATTATGTTAGGGGCTAAGGGAAATAGTCTTAAGTAAACTAAGTTGTTTGTTCAACCTTAGCTGCTTGCTCAAGCTTGGATGGGGGGACTGCACCCCCACCCCCGGGCAAATGTTCCAGGAAGTTAAGCAGATAGCTTCTTGGAACATCCGTTGGGGGGGGGGAATTTTTACCCCTAGCATGAGCCCCTAGGCCAATGGCTAACCTGAGCATGAGCTGTTCATGAGCCCTGCCAGTCAATCATCAGCAAGATCACGAGCCCTAGCATAAGCCCCTGAGCCAGTAGCTAACTGCCACCTTTTGCTTCTGGAAGTTGCTTGCTTGCTTGCTTCTATAAGAACCCTAGCCTGTAAGCATTAGGCACAACTCTCATTTGCAGCCATTTTGGCACTCGTGTGTCTCCGGAGGCACCCCGAGAGTTCGCCCCTGCGCAGGTAAAACTTTGAAACTTTGGCCAGTAAAACACCTCTGACTACCCAGCAGTCTCTGACCCTTCTTGCTTGCAAGGATGGGATGTAACATATTATATGTAAAAAAAAAAAAAGATATAGACAGCAACACACTCATAGTAGGGCTGTTTCATACCCAACTGTCAAAAACAGACATATCTTCTAAAAAAAAGAGTCCACAAGCACATTGTGGCACTGAATGGCACACTAGATCAGAAGGACTTAACTGATTTACAGAAACTCTCACCCAAAAGAAGCAAAATATACATTCTTTTCAAATCCACATAGAATATTTTCAAAGATAGACCACATGATAGTACACAAAACAAGCCCAAACAGATTAAAGAAAAATTGAAATCATATCAAGCATCTTATCAGATCACAATGGCTTGAAACTAGAAATCAACCTCAAGGAAAAGACTCAAAAACATTCAAATAAATGGAGACTGAATAACATGTTATTAAACAATGAATGGGTTAACAATGAGATCATGGAAGAATAAAAAGTTCCTGGAAACAAATGAAAATGAACACAAAACAGCCCAAAACCTATGGGACATAGTGAAGGCAGTTCTGAAAGGGGAGTTCATAGCAATACAGGCTTATCTAAAAGAGATAAAAGCATTTAAATAAATAACCTAACCCTACATCTACAAGAACTAGAGGAACAACAACAAAGAAAGCCCAGAGTAAGTAGAAGGAATGAATTAATCCAGATCAGAGCAGAATTAAATGGCATAGAGACTAAAAGAATAGTCCAAAGGATCAATAAGTCCAGGAGAAATTTCTCTGAAGAGATAAACAAAATTGACAAGCTTTTAACTAGATTCATCAAGAAAAGAAAAGGAAGAGGGCCCCAATAAATAAAATTAGAAATGAAAGAGGAGAAATTACAACTGATACAAGAGAAAACAAAGGATTGTAAGAAATTACTATGAACAACTGTCAGTAAATTGGAAAACCTGGGTGAAATGGACAAATTTCTAGAAACACGTAATTCTCCAAACTGAGTAAATAAGAAGCAGAAAGCCTCAATAGACTGATATCAGCTAGTGAAATTGAAGCAGTAATCAAAAAAACCTCTTGGCAAACAATAGCCCTGTGCTAAACAGATTTACAGGATAATTTTATCGAACATTTACAGAAGACCTAACCCTGATTCTTCTCAAACTATTCCAAGAAATCCATAATGAGAGAAGACTCCCAAACTTTTTTTTTATGAGACCAACATCATCCTAATCCCAAAACCAAATAAAATACAACAAAGAAAGAAAACTACAGGCCATTATCACTAATGAACATAGATGCTAAAATCCTCAACAAAATACTGGCAAACCACATCAGAAATACATTAAAAAGATCAGACACCATGATCAAGTGGGATTCATCCCAGGGATGCAAGTATGGTACAATATTTGCAAATCAATAAACGTAATACATCAAATAAACAAAAGGAAAGAAAAATCACGTGGTCATATCAAAACTGTAGAAAAAACATTTGATAAGGTATAGCATCCAGGGGACCCTAGTGCACTGTTGGTGGGATTGCAGAATGGTGCAGCCACTGTGGAAAACAATATGGAATATCCTCAGAAAACTAAAAATGGAACTGCCTTTTGACCCAGCAATTTCACTGCTGGGATTATACCCTAAGAATTCTGGTGTACCAATTCAAAAGAACCTATGCACCTCAATGTTCATAGCAGCACAGTTTACAATAGCTAAGTGCTGGAAGCACCTAAGTGCCCATCAGTAAATGAATGGATCAAAAAACTATGGAACATTTACATGATGGAATATCACACAGAAGAGAGAAAGAAAAAGCTCCTGTTTTGCGACAGCATGGATGGGTCTGGAGAGCATTATGCTAAGTAAAATAAGCCAGGCAGTGAAAGACAAATACCATATGATCTTACCTATAAGTGGAACCTAGTCAACAAAACAAGCAAGCAAAATATGACCAGAGTCATTGAAATAAAGAACAAACTGACAGTAACCTGAGGGGAGTGGGAAGAGGGATAATGGTAGAAAGAAGAGGGAGGGTTGTCAAGAAACATGTATAAAGGACCCATGGACAAAGCCAAAGTGGGATAGAATTGAGGGTGGGAGGTGTGGATGAGTGGGGTGTGGGAAAGTGATGGAGACAACTGTACTTGAACAACAATAAAAAAGATCCAATAAAAAGTAACAATCAATCAAGTCAAAATAAAATAAAATAAGATTGCTTCAATAAGAATCATGAATACTCTTTTTTTTAAATTTTATTTAGTTACTTTTCAAGTACATTTTTTTTTCTCTTCCCCCCCCCGCCCGGTCTCCCCCCTCCCTCCCATTCTCCCCCCCCCCAGTCCTCATCTCTGTGTCTTTCATACTTGTTCCTTAAAATCCCTCCCCCTTTTTCCCCTTAAGTTCCCTTCCCTCTCCCCTCTGGTAGAATCATGAATACTCTTAAAACAAATTAAAAAATAGAAAGTACCATTAACAACAAAAGAAATATGGAACTTAGTGGAAACTTTGGTACTAAAAAATACAATAACTGAAATAAAACTCAGTAAACAGAAAAAAATGGAGAAGAGAGAGGGAGGAATTTGTGATTGTCATAATAGAAATAGAAATCAACCACTATGAACAACGGAGAGTACACAGATTGAAGTCTGAACAAATGATGAGTTGATTTTGAAAGATTAAAAGAAAACTTGCAGAACAAAAGGAGCTTCAGGGATCTTTGGAATGATAGCAAGAGATCTTACATTCACATCACTGATGTTCCAGAAGAGAAACTGAAAGTGAATGGGTCTAAAAAATATTTAGAGAAGTAATGACTGAAAATATTCCATATTTGACAAACTATATAAACCTACAGATTTAAAAAGCTGAATAAATCCCAAACAATATATATGCAAAGAAATACATATCCAGGCACACCATAACCAAACTTCTGTTGGTGTAAGAAATGTCCAACATGTAGAGAATTTTTATGAGTTTATTTGAGCCAAAATGATGACAAGTTTTGGAAAGCCAACTCTCAACAGATTGAGAAAATGCTCTGCAGAACGTCAGTTTTACAGCTTATTTTATACATTAGAGTCAAAGGAGGAGACATAAAGATTACATGAAATCCATTGATGGTAGATTAGGGAAGAGGGAGGAAGCAAAGAGGAGAAATCTCTGGAATTGGATAAGAAGGAGAATGTCAAGACACATGCTTGTTCTACATTGGTGGGTACAGTACAGTCAATAATAAACATTTACAGTGCATAGAGATGGTATTTGAGGAATAAGATAACAATGAGGGAGACAGTGGGTATCGCCCTGAGGGGTTTGGAAAAGAAGATCACTCTGACATTCCAAAGGTATCTTATATTAGATGCAAAAAGGTAATAGACAGCTCACTCAATGTAAAGATTGGCCTTTGTCAAAGAAGATATAGGCCCGGGATGTGATTACCTGTCATGATCTGCTTTTAGTTAACAGTTGTATGTTCAGACCATCTTTTGTAGTTACTTTTGGTCTCTGAGTTTATAAGGCCTGCCATGTGGGCCTCCCCTTCTTTATACACACTTCTGAAAACTAAGAACGAAGAAAGAATCTTGAAAGGAACCAGACATTAATGACACATTACATTTTATAGCGGGTCAATAGTTTGGCAGTGGAGTTCTCCAGGAGACAGTGGCACATTTTTCAAATGCTAAAGGAAAAGAACTATCTACTCAGGCTTCTTTATTTAGTGAAAATATTCTTCAGGAAAGAAGGTAAAATAAAGACATTTTAAAGTGAAGAAAACTAAGAGGATTTGTTACCAGTAGATCTTTATTAAAAGAATTGCTCTTCAAACAGAAAGAAAATTAAAGCCAAAGGAAGAAAGAGTTCTTCAAACAGAAAGAAAATTAAAGCCAAAGGAAACCCAGAACATTAGGGATGAAGAAAGGCTTATGGAATGAGTCAATATGTAGATAAATATAATAAAATATCCTCTTCTCATTTTAATAATAATACTAGATTTTTGAAAGCAAATTGTACTACTATCTGATATTGTTCTCCATGTATTTAAAAAGGTATTTATGTATTTATAAAACAGAGAGTATAAAAGGATTTAAATAGCAATAATGTTCCTAAACTTATGTGAAGTGGTAATATGTCAATATTGTTACACTGTGATAAATCATATGTATATTGAAATCCTAGAGCAACCACTAAAAAAAAAAACCGAAGATATAT